TCCCCCCTCTTCCTCTCCTCTCCTCCTCTCTTCCTCTCCCCCTTCCTACCCTCTCTCCTTCCCCCTTCCATCTTCCTCTCCTCACCTCTATCTTCCTTCCCCCCTCTTCCTCTCCTCTCCTCCTCTCTTCCTCTCCCCCTTCCTACCCTCTCTCCTTCTCCCTTCCATCTTCCTCTCCTCACCTCTATCTTCCTTCCCCCCTCTTCCACTCCTCTCCTCCTCTCTTCCTCTCCCCCTTCCTACCCTCTCTCCTTCTCCCTTCCATCTTCCTCTCCTCACCTCTATCTTCCTTCCCTCCTCTTCCACTCCTCTCCTCCTCTCTTCCTCTCCCCCTTCCTACCCTCTCTCCTTCTGCCTTCCATCTTCCTCTCCTCACCTCTATCTTCCTTCCCTCCTCTTCCTCTCCTCTCCTCCTCTCTTCCTCTCCCCCTTCCTACCTCTATCCTTCTTCCTTCCATCTTCTCACTATTTTCCTTCCTCTCTCCTCCTCCTCTCTTCCTTTCTTTTTCTATTGTTGTAGGTGTCTCTTCCAGTTCTTACTTTTTATTTTCTTGGGGTGGTATATCCACCGACCCAAAAATAGTTATCATTCCTTGTTCCCTTTCCTTCTCAAATCTATTCTCATTAGGCAGTTTCTGACTTCTGTACGAAATGAAAACACCCTTTTTTTCCTAAGGATTTTCTGTACAGCACAGGTGACTTACAAACACAATTGAGCAACGCATTTCTAACTGCAGATTCTAACTCACATTTCTAATGCGTATCACGTTCCTCACTGAAACATTTTAGTGAACTTTCCCGCTTTTTATGACCTTTCTTGCCACCGTTGTCACTGTCATAAGTATGAGAAATGGACATTAGTTACTTTTTCAGCGCTGTTGTAACTTTGAATGGTCACTAAACAAGGCATGGCAAGTTAAGGACTGCCTCGATGTGAAGTTACAGTCCCCAGTACGTAGAAACAATGTATGTGATGAATTAAACTTTTTAAAAAATCCTTCCTCATCTGAAACTATTATTCACCACGTTAGCACTTAATCCTCCTGTCGTTTCTGTGGCTATGGAAGCTATTTCCCTATGGTTTAGTTACAGCCTGTTGTGATGTCATTCCCAAATGGGGATTGGAACCAAAAGGTGCAAAAATGATCTTGTTCAAGGGATGCGGATGTTCTGATCGAGGCTTCCCAAGAGCATGAAGCAAACTCCTGGTCCCAACAAAAACCTCTTTTATTAATTGACTGTGAATTCTGCTCACTCACATCCAGCGAAGTCTTTCAAGGGAGGATTTACAGTCACAGACCTTATCTGGCTTGGAGAGCNTGGTGGGAAGGTAACAGTGTTCCATGCACCTTCGATGTTGAGTCATGCCACATGACCACGGAGACATCTTCGGACAGCGCTGGCTGTTTGGTTTGAAACAAAGATGAGCACTGCCCCCTAGAGTCGGGAATGACTAGCACATATGTGCGAGGGGAACCTTTACCTTACTTTTTTTCCTTTTTTTCATGAATCAGACTAAGAGAAACGTCATGGACAAGTTCCAGCCATCTTAACATGCTAATACAGTCCAAAATAGACTTTAAAAGATTAAATGCAAAAGAAATCGTATTAAAGAAATTGAATTTTCATTTAGTTTATACAGCAGTGACTGTGAGGCTGAAGAAGAAAATTCTGCCTGAGTAGTGTTATTATTAAAAGGGAGTCCCTTATCGGCTTGTTACTGACCATAGGGGGCAGTGTTCATCTGCGTTTCAAGGGCCGTTGAGCCAGCGCTGTCTGAAGACATTTCCGCAGTCATGTAGCCGGCATGATATTATGGAACACTGTTTCTTTCCCATCATAGTGATACCTATTTATCTACTCACATTTGCATGCTTTGAACTGCTAGGTTGGCCGGAGCTGGAGCAAATAACGGGAGCTCACCCCATTATGCACGCTTGAGTTCGAACCTTCCAGGCGACAAGCTCAGCTTTTTAATCACGGAGCCATCACGCCGCCCTAGTGTTGTCATTAAAGCCTTTATTTTTGCCTTCCAAGCAGAAGGGCAAGAAGGTCCCGAGGAAGAGAGCAGTGATTCTGACGCAGAAGACCAAGCCCCTGCCCACGATGCCAAATTGCCCGAGAGCCAGCCCCAGCAGGCGCCCGCTGGTCACAGACCTCGGTCCTCCTCAGCTCGAGCAACAGCTGTATGGTCAGTAGAAACCAGTTCCGAAGACACAAGACGTTGGTCTGACCACCTGAGCTTGGACGAGAAAGACGGCTTCATTTTTGTGAACTATTCCGATGGGCAAGCCAAGGGATACTCGCATGCGCCCACAAACCATTCAAACGCCAACCAAGGGGAATTGCGGCATTACAGCAAGCTCAAACCAGGTATCAGACACCTTTGTAAAAGGGCAGAATTAGAGGTGGTTGTAGGTGCCAGCTTCCTTGATTTTAGCATGTGTGGGGTGGAGACAGGAGTGAAATCTACTTACCTTCACTACCGGTTCACAAATGTGAGTGCGCGCGCGTGCCCAGAGCCTCAAAAATGGACATGATGACATCCAGGCGGGCAGGTGGAACCTGCCGCCGAGCGCGCCTGCAAAGGTAAGTAGAAGAGAGAAAGGGGGGGGAGTGGGAATCCGCTGTGCCACGCGATTTAGATTAGCTAGAAAGCAGGAAATCCTGCTTTCTACGTCATATAAATCGCGTGTCACAGCTGATTGTCAGAAATGCCACTTCAGGGGAACCAGTAGCATTTTTTTTTTGCTACCGGTTCAGGCGAACCGGTAGCATTTCACCCCTGGGTGGAGACTTCATCTCGTCTAGCAGCATCGTGCCCTAATGATAGCGGGTTAGGAAAGAGTTACAGTGGAGACTGGTGGTTTGTCTTGATTCGGTAGTTGCGGGTTTACGTTTTTGCACACTTGAGGACTCATGGGAGCGTCGCAGCCATTGTTTTACGAGAACGGTGCATTGAAATGTCTATATTGATCCAGGATAGCTGTCAAAGAAAACATAACATGTCCTGGAAGCTAAGAGGGGATAATTATCGGTCTCACAAATGCCTGTTCTATATTAGAAGATGTTAGAGGCAGAATCCTGGCAACTGGAGTTCTTTTCGCTTTGAAAAGTTTTGCTGCTTATCCAAGTACCTTCTTCAGCCCTGTAGAAAGTTAGCAACCCAAAGTTTAGCTAACCTTTTCTGGATCGAGTACCCAAAGCGCACTCGAACCCCCCAAATGCAACACGCGTGCAGTCCCTGTGCATGCACCCTGCACATGTGCACACGGCCCCACCACATGCAACTCGCCCCTGTGCATGTGCCCTGCCCCTGCATGTGCCCTGTCCCCTGAGCATTCATGCACGCACGTCCCGCACACCCCCGTGCATGTGTGGCAGAGACCTGAGAACCAGCATGCGCAGCGGAGCTGAACTGGGGTAACGGCTCGCATGTCCATAGAGAGGGCACTGCGTGCCACCTGTGACACATGCACTATAGTGGTTCTGGGAGATATTAAAAAGGCAGAATGTTATATTTCCCAGGATGAGAAAAAGGGAAGCATATTTTTAAAAACAAAAAGCAACTCCCTGCCCCCAGCAGATATTTGGTGCACATTAAGACCAGGGCAGCCTATCTACAAGACAATTGGAGCTTCAGCTCCAGGGTGATGGGATTAAGACATGACTTCTCAGGACATAATAGTATTAGCCCTCTACCCATCTAGCAGCAGAGCTCACTGCATTGCGAAATCACCTGGGGACATTACATCAGCCCAAGGTTCAAACAAACTTGATTCAGATAAACATGATTCTGCATGGGAGTCTGACAACAACCAATAGAATACATATTCCTGCACAGGAACAGGAAGCTCAAGGGCAAGGCCCAAGAGAGGGTATAAATACCTCTCTCTCTCTCTCCACTCCATGTCCTCAGCTGCCCAGGACCTCAAACCCATGTGGTCCTGTCCACCAATAAACCATCTTTCCAATCAGCCTCTATGTTTCCAGTGTCTTTCTCCCCACTTGGAACTGAACCAGATGGACATTTCTTCCAACCGTCCAAAGCAGCAAAACGTTTCATACCAAAAAGAAAAGAACTCCAGTTGCCATAAATGAACTTCCAGGTAACTCTGGGAGCCTGCGAATCTTCATCAGCACTGGAATAGAGAGCTTCTGTTCTTTTGTCCACCCATGTTAGGGATGGCTACCCTTTTCTGCCTCTTAGCCCTGTGGCATGTTCTGAAAAAAAGGGACCAGCTGCTCCACAGCCAACAGAGATGTGCATCCCCCTGTTTCCAGTCAAGTGTTAAATTTGTGGATCAGAAGTTTCTCGCTCGCCTACTTTCCACGTTTGCTTACCTTATCACCTGCATCTATTTTTAGGCTACAGATGGGAGAGGCAGCTAGTGTTCAGGAGCAAATTAACTATGCACACCGCCTTTGACCGCAAGGACAATGCACACCCTGCAGAAATCACAGCGCTGGCCATTTCCAAGTAAGTAGGTTGCCCTCTCCTTAATTCCTTGCACATAATTCTTCCAAATGGCAGCAGAAAGCTTAGTAGGGCATTTAGGCTTCAGATCACCGAAGCAAAATAGGGGGGGGGGGGGGGGGGGGGGGGGGGGGGGGGGGGGGGGGGGGGGGGGGGGGGGGGGGGGGGGGGGGGGGGGGGGGGGGGGGGGGAACCCTGCTTCCTATCATCTGTCTGAAAATGGCATTAAATCCAGTGGTGGGATTCTACCAGTGTAACAAGCAGTTTGTTGAGCGCACACGCAGTGCATTTCAAAGCAGCTCAACAACTCGCCTTCTACTCAGTGGTGGGTTTCAAAAAAAATTAGAATCTCTTCTGTAGGTGTGGCCTACTTTGTGGGAGTGGCTCGGCGGTCATGTAACGGTGGGAGTGGCTTCCCGGCCATGTGACTGGGTGGGAGTGGCTTGCCGGCCATGTGACTGGGTGGGCATGGCCAACTTGTAAAATGTGGTTAAACTCACTTAACAACGCTCTTGCTTAGCAACCAAAATGTTGGCTCAGAAACTCTGGCATTTGAAGCACGCAAGTCTTAAAGCTGTCAAATTACAAGACCCTTGCACCCCTAACCCTTTAGGGAAAAACCTCCAGGGATGTTCAAACTTGACAGCTTTAAGATGTGTGGGCTTCAACTCCCAGAAATCCTCCTCTCGCTCTTCATCTTGATGATGTGCGGACAGGCGGGGGGGAGGGAGCTGGAACCGGTTCTAAATGGCACTGTGGATTTGTGGAACCTCTTTTATAGAAGAGGTTAGAACTGGCAGGAACCCATCCCTGCTTCTACTGCAGCACCAGCGAGTAAAACAGCTGAGACGTGGCAAGTGCTCTGCCGCGCCCGTCAGCTGGGCTTCAAACAAAGGAAATATAGGGCAGACTAGGGCAGATGCCGGAGGGGGAGGGGGGCAACTGATCACCGGAACTACCGGTTTGCACAAACCTGTCTGAACCGGCTGAATCCCACCTGATTAAATCGATTCATCACAAAGAGGCTACTGGCTGAGATAGTTAAATTAAGCCATCTTAATTTCTGAGAATACAAAGTTGACCATCCCACTGGGTCCTACTTGCATGCCGACAATATTTGGTGGAATGTAAGAGGCATCAAAAGGAAACGAGGCCTCAAAAATATTTTGCAAAATATATAAAATGTTCATGAAATAGCAAAAATTACTGAAAAGTGTCCTTCAGGCGCTCTGAAAGAACTTTAAAAGAAATAAAACACGCATATAGCTAGTCCTCATTTACGATCACAACTGGGGCCAGAATATCTGTGGCTAAGCAAGGCGGTTGTTAAATAAGTCACACCTAACATTACTAACCAATTTCGTTGTATACATGATGTACAATGACAATAAAGGCTATACTATACTACCTTTTTTGCAGTTCTTAAGTGAATCACATGGTTGTTAAGCAGATCCGGTTTCCCCCTCCCCCCCAATTGATTTTGCTTGTCATAAACTGCCTGGGAAGGTGGTAAATGATGCTCACATGACCCTGGGACCATTATAAATAAATGCTGGTTGCCAAGTGCCCCGATTTGGATCTCATGACCAAACAAATGTTCATAAAATGGGGCTTATTTACTCAACAACCCTATTGCTTAGTGACAGAAGTTCCAATTACAGTTGTAAGTCAAGGACTGCCTATAATGGAGGGATGATGGAAGATAGACCTGCGTTTCTTTTGACCTGCTGGATTACACTCTCCTCTTCAGCCACAGGTTTTGACCGGAAGCTAATGCATATTTGTTTCTTCCAGGGATCACAGCAGGATTCTCGTTGGGGACAGCCGAGGCCGCGTGTTCAGCTGGTCTGTGAGTGACCAACCGGGCCGCTCTGCAGCTGACCACTGGGTGAAAGACGAGGGAGGAGACAGCTGCTCCAGCTGCTCGGTCCGCTTCTCTCTTACCGAAAGACGTCACCATTGTAGGAATTGTGGACAACTCTTCTGTCAGAAGTAAGAGCAGCCACTTTCAAGAGCTCGGCTTCTCTGTAACCAAACGATTCTTGGGCGAGTCTATTCTCCAAAAACCTTGGTAGCAAAGTACCGTATTTTTCGGAGTATAAGAGGCTCCAAAGTATAAGACGCACCTAGCTTTTGGGAGGGGGGAAGGGGAAAACCATGGGGGGGGGGAAATCTGCCTCTGACTCCCAGCAGTTTGCCTCCTTGCAACAAACAGCAAACAGTACAGACAATATGCACTGTTTGTGGTGTATTTCTGTACATGTGTGCCTGACCCATAGAAATAGCAAAGAATTGGAGAAATGTACAGAAGGAGAGATCAGTCTTAACCCCACATTTCTTTCTCCAGGTGCAGCCGTTTTCAGTCCGAAATCAAGCGGTTGAAAATCTCTTCCCCGGTCCGGGTTTGCCAGAACTGTTATTACAATTTGCAGCACGAGCGAGGGCCGGAGGAGGGATCCTGGAATTAACACCGTCAAGAGGAACAGCGCAAAGCCAGACGGCAATATTGCGGGGCCAGCAAGAACTCACCCGAGCGGATTAATTCCCGGCCTGAGCAGCACATTCGGAGCGGTTGCAGCGGTTACCAATTCCCCGTGTCACCTCCCTACGCAAGGACCGCGAGCAAGAGGGATCATTCATTATTTTGTGGGGCACCTTTGCAGAGAGGCGCCAGAAAACATCAGCTGGGATCTGGCGGGAAGGGCGTCATAATTGCCCCGACTGCGTCAAGGTGCCCCGCGAGCCTCTTCCGTCTTCTCCGCCAAGAAAAGACCTCCTTCACCATCTCTCTCCCCAGCTTGATTTTGTAGTTAGTCCCATTCGATTTGGGTTGCCAGAAGCAGGAGGCTTTTTAGAAAAAAAAAATAGTTGTACATTTGCCTTCTTCGCAAAGCAAAACTGTGGATATTGTAAATAGAGAAAATGGCCTTTTTATCAAAAAAAACAAACAAACTGGACTGCCTGTTACATGGGATTTCAGACCACTAACTATACTTTGCATCTCTTCTTTGGCTCATCTATTTAAACATGATTTTGTTTTTGTTTTTTGTTTTTTAATTGAAAAGAAGAAAGCATCAAGGGGCATTATGTTTCCCCCCTCTTCCCCTTTACTATTCCAACTGCATGATTCTTTTAGTTACTCACATGATCTTAAGTTAATCCAAGCTTTTTTGAAGATGGGGGGGAAGGGGGGAGGCCATCCTTTTGTTTTGTGGCATAGGACTTCAAACATTTTATTCTAAACTGTAAGATAACCAAAAAGCCCCCCCCCCCCCCCCCCCGGCGTTCTGTTGCGTTTTTAATACATCTATTTAGAATCTCTCTTCGTATTTAAATAAGGTCTGTTTTTATACACCTTGCTGCTTGCTCATTCTTTACCATTGTAAGTAATCCGCTAATCCAGATAGGTCTAAGGCAAGTCTTACTTAAAAATACTAGTAAACGGCTTGCATGAAAATCAGATTTAATACTTTTCGTTTTCGGGAGGTTTCCCCCCCCCCCCCAAAGAAAACCAATGGACCATTTTTTTTTCCTTTTAGGTGGTTTTGTTCTTGGGGTTTTGTTTTATGTTTTTGCAAAATGGACTTGGAAACGTCCCGACAACTTGGAAATGCTTAGAGGGGTCCCAGTGAATTTCAAAATTAAATTCAGACTTGCTCCTTTACTTAGGGTTTGAACCTGATGTTGCACCCCAGTTTCATCATTCATTTGTTCACTTGGAGGACATAAATTCAGCTATTTTATAGATCAGCATTTATAGTACTATGAAAAATATACAGATCAGATCCAATCAAACATCTCAGTGAAATGAGGCTTTGAAGTGTACTTTTTTGTTTTATCCCCTCCCCCCCCCACGTGTACTGGATCAATCCTTCCTTCCTTCCTTCCTTCCTTCCTTCCTTCCTTCCTTCCTTCCTTCCTTCCTTCCTTCCTTCCTTCCTTCTTTCCTTGGTGATGAGATTATTGCTACTGCCTTTTAACTATGGTAAGACGACAGTTTTTTTAAAAAAAAACAAGTAACTCAGAAACAACATGGCACATCACACAATGTAGCACAACATAAACCTTGTGATTTGTTAACACTTCGGTGGGAGGAGGAAAATGAATTTAACATAATTTTGAATAGTTCGTCCAGAGCAATTTTCTCCCTGGTTAGAAATCAATGGAGTGATTAGGTTAAGTATGTATGCTGAGGATCTTTTTAATTGTCGCGAAGGATTGCAAGACTTCATTGGGGTTATAATAAATGGATTTCACACACACACACACACCCCAAAAAAAAACCCTTTCACACATGAGCACACACGGGTTTATGAAAATTGTTTTTCCCCACTGGATGTTTTTGTTACAACCAGCATTGAGCTAATGGCTATTCTTCTGCCTTGTTCGGTGCTGCCAAGTTTGATATCTGCCAAGTTTCTCAATAGTTTTTTTTTTTTAAGATAGAATCTCCAACTATTGACATTATGCTAGAATAAGACTCTGTAATCATAGGCACAGTGCTGCTTATGTGGTCCTTAAACTCAGCCGAACAGAAAATTTTAAAAGTACAAATATAAAAAAGGCAAAGCATGTTGAAATTCTCTCAATCTCCTTCATTCCACTGAAAATTCTCCCCCTTCCCCAAATAACTAAATTTAACTCGGAAGTTCTTAATCTGAAGGTTATCTTTTTTTCAGCTTGAGAATGATTTTTTTTTTTCCAAACTCTCGATTAATTCCTCCAAATGAAATTCTAAGCCCTGGTCGACACTAACATTCGTAGACACTAATGCTGGCTCATTAGAAGATACGTATCGTTTTTCTGGTTGTTTTTTTTGTTTTTATTCTCCTAATTTTGAGTACGTAAGACCTATTGTACCGGTGTTATTCTACACTTTTTACATTTGGTGTTCTCAGAGGGAAGGTGACTTCTGCGTGGCGTTGTGGTTAAATGTGTATAACTTGTATTTAAATTTCGGTGTGCTGAACAAATTTGCTACTTGACTGGGGAGGAAAGCTTGCAGATTTCTACCCTTATTTATCTACTCCAAGGGGTAACTGTGAAGGTGCATCCTGTCGATGAGAGGGGAAAACGTGGGATTATTCTGCGCCAAGAAATGGTAAGGCACCCTTCGTTCCTACCTTAAAGCCCTTTCCAAGTCCCACTGGGATACATGGATACTGAGCAATACAATTCTTTGGTGTAGTGAAGTCTTCACAGCTCCCATCAGCTGCTACTATAATTCGGAATGCTTTTTTTTCCTTTCTTTCTTTCCAGTCCCATAAAATGTTTTATCATAGCCCAAAGTTTTTCAACTCGACATCTTACAAAGGTGTGGACTTCAGTTCCCAGAATTGCACAGCTGGGGAATTCTGATAGTTGAAATCCACACCCCTTGGAAGATGCTGAAGATTAGATTGAGAAAACTCTGGGCTCAACACCGAAACCTTTTTCCGCCAGTTGCAATTTGCTTTGTGTGTTTGTGTGTGTGTGTAAAAAACTGAACATTGGTTGTGCAGCAGCCAAACTTTTGCACTGTCAAGCAGTTCGCCTCACCCTGCCTTGTTCTTTGACGTGGTTCTTCCTGAAAGGTATCCATACACTCTTTGTTTGTAACGTGTGACTGTAATGTTCATGCTTAAGAAGAAGGTCAGAATGGCAGCCCCATCCCTCATCTGCCAGTCCAGGCGCAAAAGACTTTTTAGAGACATTATTTTGCACTTTCTTATGTATAAAAATTAGTAGGAACTTTTCCTTTTTTTTTTCTTTCTTTTTTTTTTGTTCCAGATTCCTTTGGTTTTGGTAAAATGAACTGTGTATAATAATAATAATAAAAAAATATTTATGCAGTTAAAACTGTTTTTAGAAAATATTTTTAATTTCAGCAAGTTTGGTTACTTGTTGCATGACTTAACACAACTGACTTTTTGTGTCAGTACAATGTATATTTTTTGTCCTGTTATTAATTTGTAAGCCTTGGGGTAAATGGCCATTTATTTGTACAGCAAACCGGAGTAAATTGAAGATAACTGGCTAGGACTGGAGGGGTGGATTTTTTTGTACTATATTGAAGAATCCAATATCTGTTTTTGGTGGTTATGTAAAAGGCCTGAAGAATTACTATCTAGTGTGCAATCTGTGATATCTGAATGTTTTATTGTATATTTGTCTCCAATGCAAAAAGGTAGAGTAACACAATTACAATACATGATTAAATGCAATAGTTCAGGTACCTTTTTTTGTTTTTTCATTTCAAATAAATACTATTTACCACCACGTTTTTCGGTCCAGATCTCTTTGAAAAATCATATAACCAGCTTTGGAAACGTCTAAACTATCGGATAAGGTGTGTGCATCAAGAATTCTGTTTCCAGCCAAGTCAAACTCAATCCGCCCAAAATCAAAGGAACTCGAGTGTTTACCCAGTGCAAACCAAGAAGCTAATAGAAAGCACTGAACTGTTTTAATCTGAGTTGCTGCAGCGATTAAGGGTATAGGATTGTTTTAATTTTGAACGAAAAGAGAGCTTTCTGGACACTTGCGTTATCCAATCATAGAAACCATGGTATTTAAGATGCCAAAGTTTATATATGGTGCTATAAAGATAAAAGTTCCCTTGCACATGTGTGCTAGTCGTTCTCGACTCTAGGGGGCGGCGCTCATCTCTGTTTCTAAGCCGAAGAACCAGCGCTGTCCAAAGATGTCTCTATAGTCATGTGGCCGGCATGACTCAATGCTGAAGGCGCACGGAGTGCTGTTACCTCCCCACCAGTGATCCCTATTTTTCTACTTGCATTTTTACATGTTTTCGAACTGCTAAGTTGGCAGAAGCTGGGACAAGTAACGAGCTCACCGTTACGCGGTGCTAGGGATTCGAACCGCTGAACTGCCGACCTGAGCAAAAAGAACTATTGTATATCCTTTACATGGAACTTTTTATCATACGTGATACTCCTCTTAACCTGCATCTGTGCTTGATGCCTCTTCCAAATCTGCTGTGTTTCAAAGTTATATATATTGACATAATTAAAACTTATGAAATGGAAACCCAGTAGGACTCCCATTGACTAGAAACTGGGGCTACCCATTATCTAAAACATACTCGTCTATGCAGTAAACAAGTTGAAGCCTCCCAGCGTGGCTTAATTGCCCTCAGAAATAATAGGTGTTTTGTCGGTAGAGGCATCTCTCTTAGAAGCCCTACAGCTTTGTAACCATAGGCAACTCAATGAAGAGGCTAGGAAATGCTGCAACTTTTTCCGCGATCGTTTTTCTGGCACTTTCCCGAAGTTGCTGACCTCGCAAGCGAATTCACAAGACTGTAAAAAAAAAATGACTTGGTTGCCTGGCTAAGTTTTGACCCCCAGTTCCACATGTCGTCATAGTACAAGGAATGCTTTTGCCATTCGCTTTGAAACAGTCTTCAATATCCGCAAGGAACACTGTCCTTTTTTTTTTTTTTTTCCGGAAGTTTTGGATCGAGGCGTAGATGTGTTTTTTTCACTTTCAGAATTTTTTCCCCCTGCTACGCATTCCAATTAAGTTCTAGAATAAACAGGTCATGTTGCATTACGTCCCCTTCTTAGTAAGAGGTTTTTTAATTGAAAGGGGGGGGGGGGGGGGACTCACTCTAGAAAATCAGGCCTGCAGGATAGCCTGGATTGGCCGAAAGTGGAATTGGATTTGTAGCTAGT